GCAGTGCCTCCAGCAGCAGTGCCTCCAGCAGCAGTGCCTCCAGCAGCGCTGCCCCACAGCTCCCTACATCCCGGCTCACCTGCGCAACCCCGGCTCACCTCCCAGGGGAGAGAGCACCCTGATCCTACAGAAGCACTCAAGTGTGAAAAACGGTATTTTAAAAAGCTTATTAAACAACTCCTCCTCCCCCCGCCCCCCCTTTCTTTTTTAAGCTCGTGCTCTTACCCTCCTAATTCCCACCCGGACTTTAAGCTTACGCCCAGCCCACTACCTCAAGGCGGCTCCCCCGGGCCAAGGGGATTGGAACGGGCAGGGGGAAGGCAGCGGGGCCGCCTCCCAGCTCCTACCTGCCCAGGCTCGCTGCTGTAGGCGAAGGCGTAGAGCCGCTCCGAGCTGATGTTCACGGCTCCCCGGTAGACGCGGCCGAAGGCTCCGGGAGCGGGGCCACCCCCCGGGGCCGCTGCCGTTACCGCCCAGAGCAAAGCGCAGAGCAGCGCACCGGGGGCTGCGGCCGCCCCCCCGGCCATGGCCCCGCGTGTGCCGCCGCCCGGAGCGGGCTCCCGGTCCGCCTCTCCCCGGCGGTGCGGGCGTCCGGGTACTTTATTTGCGGTGAGAATCACTAGCGCGGCCACACGCACCGGCGAGGGGGAGGCGGGAGGCAGCGAGGCCCGGACGCGCCCCCGCCCCCCCACCGCCCGGGGGTGCCGAGCAACTTGCCCCGGGAAAGGACCCTCCGCCAACCGGCTGCCGGGAGGAGAGAAGGGAGGAGAAAGGGAGGGAAGGGAGGCAGGCGGCTGGCCCCTGGAGGAGGGTCTCCGTGTGCCCGGCCCCAAATTCTGAGCCGGCCCTCGCCGTCAGTTGTCAGGGAGCTTTTCACCTTTGGGACGTGTGCTGTGAGTTTAGGGCCGCAAGGATACGAGGGAACAGTGCCACGGCAGTGAAGCTGCGGGGCTTCAACACCCCCAGCCCACTGTGTTCTCACCTTGTCCTCTGCCAGCTTGCTGGAGTGATGATGGATGCTTGGAATATGTTTTGCACAGAGCCATCCCAGACTTCTCAGCTGGTAACATCTCTAAAGGTGTGAAAGGCTGCAGAAAGATGTCATTCCGTTAGTTCAAGAATGCCTCATTCCATTCTATGTTATTTAAGGAGTTTGTGAAACTGCTACAAAAATCACTGTGATAATCAACCTTTTCAGCCAGATGAGAGTCATACTGTTAGGCCAGGGGTCTCTCTCCCCCTGCTTTCTCCTCTTATGTTCTGTTGAAAACGTCTCTGAGAAATGTGTCAGACCCCAAAGCGGAGGGATGGACTTTTAAGTCAAAGAGGATTACCAGAAAGCAACCTGAAAGCTTCTTCAGGCTGAAGGCAAATTCATAGAAGATGTGATTTTATAAAGCCAGCCTGCATTCTCTAGTTATGTTGTCTTTGGCCACAGAGGCTGTCCAAGCAATGGGGTTTCTTGACAAGAGTGAGTGATTTCCTGAGGGTCACTCTTCAGAGGAGAATTTGTAAAGCTCAGCAGAACGACTCAGCTTACATTATGCTGTTATTTTGATCTTTGGGCATTCGTGCAGTTTCTGCCAAGAGCAAACAAATACAAAAATTGTCAGTGATTTATTTGGTCTTGAAGTGGGCTGCCATTAAGCCACCCTGCCTTCTGTTAGAGTTCTAAGAAACAGTGGCATGAAGGCAAGTCCCCCACACAAGAGATGTACAGAAAGATGGCCATTCTAACCCCAAGAGTGCCTTTTGGCCTGCAATGTTGTGCTGTGCCGACCAGAACCAGTGCAGTGCCACAGACAAAAGCCTCAGAGAGCAGAAAGAGTTAAGGCAAAGCAAAAGCATGCCTCTGCCATGCCAGGATGCTCAGAGCAATGTGACAGGTGGTATGAGGCCAGTATTCTGAATACCATAAGAGCATTGGCACCTACTGATAGTTTTGGGGTCATTTAGTGTTGTGTATATTTCAGATCAGTAGATCAGTAGGGAATCAGTGTACTGTCTTCTATGTTGCACTGACCATATGATAAATAAGTGGTCTCTATAGAGTCGACACTTCTAGTGCAGAATTACAGATTTCTTCAATTACTTCCCATGAATGGATGTATGTTTTGATATCCTACAGAGGACTACACATTTCTTCTTCTCCCTAGGGCTGCCCAGGGAAATGGTGGACTCACCATCCCTGAAGGTGTTGAAGAAATATGTAGATGAGGCACTAAGCGACATGATTTATGGGGCATGGTGGGGATGGGTCTTTTCCAACCTTAATGATACTATGATTCTAAGTTTAAAGACAGGTCAATTCCATCATCCAACTCACTAATTAAAATAATCAATCTTAGCAGACAGATCAGATCTTTTAATTTGTTATATCTTCCTATTGTCTGGAAAATACCTGCAGTTACATTTTGGGAGTTGCTGTTTAATCACGCACTCCTTTCGTGTTAATTCCAATTGGAACCTTACTTGCTTTTGTGAAGATGGTGTTCAGTGCAATGACAAAAGCCTTACTAAAGTCCAAACGTTTCATCTGTTTCTTTCAGCACTTCCTAAGTCAGTTATCTCTGCAAAGCAATAAATTAGGTTACTCTGACATGATTTGTTCTGGACAAATGCGCACTGCCTGTTTCTCATCACTTTATTGTTATTTGGTTGCTCGCCTGCTGATTACTGAACAGGTTGTTTCATTATCTTTCCAGATAACATGGAGCCTGGCTGATTTATATCTCTTCCCTCAGCCCTGTTGCTAAAGTAGCCTATTTGCCCTTTTCATGTCCACCTAGATCTTGCTCTTGAATGACAGCATGTGTTTTGGAAGAAATAATGTGTACATATAGAGACAAGAGGCTGATCCAGACAGATCATGGCGTAGGATTGGTGGGAGAGTTCTTACATGTGCCACAGCACACTAGCATCAGAGGACAGGGTGGCCTGAAGATGACAGCTGGGCTCAATCTAATGAGTCCAGATTGCCTGGCAAACCATGGCAACGAGGCAGGTCCTTGGTCAGGCCAGGAACTCCATCACGGGTGTCCCACAGCTGTAGCTGGAGGACAGGCAGTGCCCAGCACCAGAGCCATGGTGTAAGTACAGCACCCATGGGAAGGCAGAGGCCAGCCCTCTCTGAGGCCTTTCTGCAGCACTGCCTGCAGGGTCACTAGAGCAAAGCAGGGTAGCCCTAGGCTGCACTGTGTCTGCTTTGGCACCAAGCCTGGGGTGTCAGAGCTCCAGGAGAGGGCATGCTCTCAGGGTCATTTCCTCTGGAGGTGTGCTGGGCCACATATCTCCTCACATGACCCTTTCTCCCAACTTAGCAAAGACCAAAGAAGGAGGTACTACACTGAAGCAGAGGCTCACAAGAGAGTAATTGCTGGTTGGTGTGCTTTTTGTTTCTTTGTTTGTTTTGCTGTAGCAAAACAGCAAAAGTAGAAAGTCTCAATGCTTTGGGAGAAAAAAAACAAAACAAAACTGTAAGGAAGCAGTATTTCTGCTAGTAACCAGTGCTGCCAAACAGCTAGGATAGGGGAAAGATCTCAATTCCAAAAGAATTTTCCCAAACTAAAATTTTGGAAAGAGAAAGATTTTAAATATATAACCAACCAAACTGGTTGGAAACTTGAGGGCCTTAAATCACTGCTTTCTGTGTATGTAGTCTCTGTTTCATAAGCTCCATTATGAGCAAATAGATGCTGTAGGTATTCAGCTGGCTTCTGCAGAGATAATGGATCATTTTCAGACACTGTTGTAAATGCAGTGTGAAGAAAAACAAGGAAGGGTAGACAGGCTTCTAGGACATCTGATAGAATGTCATAGAATATCGCAAGTTGGATGGGATGTACAAAGATCTTTGAATCCAAAGCACACTAAGAGCACAGAGACCTGCTCTCCATTCTTATATAGGTGGCTGAATGAGAAGTGTCTCTGCAAGCTTACATGAGGTATTTAGCAGTTACACTTCCATGTAATTAATAATAGCAGAGAGACTTACGAGCTTTCAGAGTACACGCTACATTGATCTAATTGTGCTGTGATCTCTTTCTCTCTTTTCAATACTCCTTGTTCTTTTTAAGCCACACTAGGACAGAATTCCAGATGTGTCTTTAATTTACATTTTTGTGTTACAGATTTTCAAATAAACAAAGAGTAACCAACCCAATACATTGCCTTACACGTATGCCTAGGATTAGAGGTTTCTTTTACTACGGACTGAAGTCTGATATTCAGCCTCAGGTTGCATATGGAAATTGAATTTCAGGTGCAACCTCCTGCATAAAGAACACCCCGGGCACATTTGCAGCACTTCAGCAAAGGCAATCGCTGCTAGCATTTTGCTATCACCCTTTTTCTCCCTTTGTAATTTCCCTCTTCTTCTTGTGTTGCATGTCAAGCAATTCCTTTCCTGAGCTCGTTCAACGTTGCCATCTGCATCTTCACAGCAGGATTGATGAAGCTGGAATTAGATCCATGAGGATTCAGCACCATCAGATCTTGGTGAAAGGAAATTTCTTTTTAATTAAGGAAGGATTTTTGACTGAAAAGCTGATAAACCCTACATCTTCTCTTTCCACACGCAACAGACACAGTATTAAGCTCACACTGTAACACAGAATGTTAACTCCAAGCCTTCCAAATAATTTATGTCTCTACCTATGTGACCCAGTGAAGCAGATCACAGAATCACAAAATGCCTTAGGTTGGAAGGGACCTTAAAGATCCTCTTGTTCCAAACCCCGTGCCGTGGCATATTTGTGGGGCAAGTCTAAAGGAAATGCTCTGCACTCGGTCATAAGGTAAATAAATGAGTGTTAACAGCCGGTTACTTTGTGGGAGTTGGACATTCCTTGGGTAGGGAGGTGCACGCTTCCTTGGTGGCACCGCTAGTGAGTTCTGTTTGTTAAAACACAACCCGCTGCCACTCCTTAACGTTACGTTTCCTTCATTTAAGAGCTTGTGTGAAGTTCTGCTCTTAACTGCCTCTTGATTATCTTAATTAAGATTTGAAATACATCTGGAAACTTCCAAATCTCTCTGACAGGGGCACCACAAGTTGTCCTGGGGTGGTGTTTGCAGTGAAGAAAGATGATGATTGGCGTAAATGAGCAGGATTGGCGTGAGAGAGGGAAGAAGTGGCCCAGCCGCTCGCTCAGGGGCATCTCCTCGTGCTATGAGGCGCCCGTCAGGGGCTTTCCTCATAGAAAACTCAGAGCATAGGGAGGCGGCGGCATGAGGCGCGGGTGAGCCAGGACGTGAAGAAGCACGATCGGGGGTAACGAAGATGCCTTTTCGGCGGAGGTCAAGGCGCCACCCTAAGGGGAGCCGGCGGTGGCGCAAGGCGGGGCTAGCCGCCGCCACGTTCCACCCCTCGGGGCGCGGCGAACGGCTCCGTCCCTGTGGCAACGGAGAGAGGGTGCGTGCGCGGCCCGTTGGAGCCGCCGGCGGGGCGGCCATGTCGCTGCTGAGCGGGCCCCGACCGCGGCTCCGCGGCGCTGCCAGGAAGGGACCGAGGAAAGCGACGGCGGCCAAGCGGGATTGGGACGTAAGTGCTGTCTGCGACGGGAGCGGCCTGCTCGGCGCCGGGCAGGGCGGGCTCCGTGCGGGGCTAGGGGAGCCTTGTGTGGAGGCTCGTGGGCGCCGAGCCGCCCGATCCGGCCGTGAGCGGTTGGGGAAAACCTGTGAGGGGCTCTGGGCGGGAGCGAGCCGGCCACCATCAGTGCTTGCACAGCCAACTCCCCACCTCGTTCCCCTTCCCTGCGGAGGCTTAGTTGTGTGGGGTGGTTTTCCCGTCCAACCTTTTTCACCCGCCTGGAGTGAGCAGGGCGAATTAGGAGTTCCTGAAAGTTTAGGTATTGATGTGTACGGTTGTGTTATTTTTATCCTTTTTCTCCTCTTCAATTGCTTTTGTTGTCTTCTCTTGTTCCTTTGTGCAGAGTACTGTCCATGATTTGACGGTTCACCGTGCAACTCCTGAGGACATCGTAAGTATAATGTCTGAGCTGGTTCTACAAGTGGTTGTTTTGATGGCCTCCAGGCAGCTACATTAGCAAGCACTTTTGTATTTGTGTTTATATACATATATCAGCATTAGAAGAAGAGTGAGAATTTCACTGATGATTGACATGAGCATTAAGTCAGGAAAATGCAATGGCTTTCTACATGGGAATGTTTGTGCGTTTGTCCTCTGTTGAGAAAACTCTTGATTTAGTGGTGGTGGGCAGATGGAAGCTGTGAGGCTTCCTCCATTCACCTTTGAAACTACTTTAAACATGGCTAGTGTTGGTGGCATTTGACACTTGAGGATGTTTATGAGTTTTTTGTTTGTACTACCATGAAATAACCACCATGTTGTAAAATCAAGATAGAAGAGTTGTCATCATGGTCTTACTAGTTTTTCTTTTACATTGTACTTTCATTTTAAACTAGTTTCTTTCATGTTTACATAGCTGCGTCGCCATGAAATACACAAATCAAGAAACAAAGCACTGGCACATCTGGAACTGCAAGAGAAGGCACTGAGAAGAAAATGGAAGAAGCAAAAACAGTTGGCCCCTGATTCGTTGGAGAAAAGGAAATTGGCCCTGATGCATGAGGTAAGAGCAAAACCTGTGCTTTCAGCCTGCTGCAAATAATTTGCAGTAGTAGTAGAAAACTGCTTTTGCACATCAGTGAAAATCAGTTCCTCTTTTTGTATAGTTGGCCTTCATGTGTGCATACTTTCTTTCTCCTCTACATGCGGTAGCTTGACATAGACTGTGTAACATCTTACCTGTACAGTTAGAGTATCTGTATGGACTGTCTACACCCTCTGTAACCTGCAGGTCTCTTTGCATTTGCACAGGAACTGTTTGCAGAGTTGAACTCTGTGCTGTGAAAAGGATGCGCGTTCTTTGTGTCCTCAGTTCTATCTTGCCTCCTTTTCTCCCTACCTAGTATTTTTCTTTGTTTGATGAACACCTGAACGTTTATAGTTTTGAGAAGGACATCCTTGTCCGCCATTCCTTATTAACACAGGGGAAATGCAGGGGACCAAAAGGTGAAAGGCAAGAAGTGGAGAAGGACGCGCTTGGCTGGAAGGAAAGATGATGAAACAAATGTTGAGTTGGCTGGCAGACAGATCTGTCAACTGAGAGTATAAATGTTTGTTTACTAGGCAGTCTGAATTATTCTCACTGAAAATACTGTTTAAATTGCTTTTGAACTTTCTACAATAGCAGCAAAACTAAGTTTAGCTTGCAGAGAAAGAGGCTTTCAGTGGCTGACAATAGATTTCTCTGTTAAATACCATCTTCTTGTTTCACACAGCAGGATACTACTTGCCATGTCATGAAAACTAATCTCAAAATATAGTAGCTTTGAAACTTCCATCAGCACTTGGACAAACCCAAAGTTTGTCTTGTTCATTATCGTTCAGTGTCAACAGTGTTCTGGCAGATAAAGCAATGATGTACTAATTCAGCAGTCCTGCGTATGCACAGCAGGTTAGCTGTCAAAGACTTCTATTTCTCATCTTGTTTTTGTAAATTTTCAGAAATCTTGCTGTGAACTTTGAGAGCACTGAAGCATAGACAAAAACGAATGAAAGTATTAGGTTTTAACAATCACCTACTAGATTCGTATTTAATACCTTTTTTGTCTCCAACTACAACAAAATTTATGTTAGGGGTATTTGTAACCAAGAATCACTTTGATTTAAACATTTGTTATTTTCATGCTTTTATACCAAGTCCATTTTAGGGCAGTATTCTAGGAAAAAACCCATAAGCTTTTAGACATAATTCCCTGGTGCAGTCTAGATCCAAGAAAAATTCCTTCAAGAGATACATATACCAAATACAGGTAGGACCACAAGCTCTTAAGTGTGTTTGGACTACTTAATATACGACTTGCTTGTTTCACACATTTGGAATAGTTTTCTGTATTTCTTGCCATTTGTAATGATATTGCACTAATTTTAATTCCTCCTGAGCAGATTTCTCCCTTGTATTTAAAAGAGTACTTACTTTTAATCAACATATTCTGTGTCTACTTTTGAATCTGAGAAAAAACTGTTCTAAATAGGAAGACGTAAGATGATTCCAGGCAAAATGAAACACATGCTGCTGTTGCTTCTTGATGTACTGGCATCTTCTTGAATGTGAATTATGAATATGGAGAAGAGTCACTATTTTCCTGTATCCCCAAGTTAAATTCTGTTAGTCGCTGGTCCTGTTGTTCAGAGTAATTGAAGAACTTCAATCTGCATTTTCCAGTACAGCATAAGCACTGTGGGTATCTCCTTGCTTCTGTTATTCAGTGATTTTTGTTTACTGTTGCAAGATCTCAAGCCCTTTGAGTCTTAATCAACTGCAGGCAAAATTTAGGAAGACGGTGCCTGTAGCATGTCTTTTCTTGTATCTATATGTTGAAAAGAGAGAGTAAAAATTACCAAATGGATGAGCTTAACTTTCAGCTTTTGAGGGAGGGACTTGCTAAAATTCTGAAGGAAAAATTATATGACTTTCATTTCAATTACTGAATTGTGAGTGGTCCTACAGCCTGTTTCTAAAATGATGTCACTGCACTACACTGAAGGGTACATAGTGAATGTATTAGTGTAGTTGAAAAGGTTAGGATTAGTCCTGTTTAATTATCTTCAGTAACATTCTGAATTTTAATGAAATTTGTGAGTGCTATTAAAGTGGGAGAAGGTACAGCACCCAGTGAGTGTGTTGAGGGAGTGTAAATGGGCCTGGATCTGCTGATCGCAAACAAATGTAAGCTAATTTACCTTAGGAACCATGGTCTAAATAAATGTTCTTAAATGTTGAGCAGAAGAGCAAAGCTTTGGAACCTAATAATGCTGAGCTAGTAGGGAGCACGAAAACAAATTAGTCAAGATCAGTTTTGTTGGAGTAAGTGTGTCACTTCAGTTTTCATTGCTTTGGGCAAAGGAGTCATGTTTTGGAATAGGTAAGCATTCTTACTTTTTTTCCTGTTTGGCCTTGCATGACATTATCTAAAAATGTGCTTGATTTTAACATTAGATGGCTAAATGCAAAGTTAGTATCGAGGGTAAAAAGTAAATGGTGATTTGGGGATTTAAATATATGATTACAAGAGGTGAATGTTCATTGGTTTGCTAAATTGATGATTAGGAAAAGTTAAACGTTGCAGTGTAATTCAGTCTCAAAAGACTAGACAAATGTGTAAATGAGCCTTGCAGGCATCCAGGTCAGTGCAGAAGGAGGGCAGGAGATGCAACGCATGTGGAGCAGAAGTTACATGCAGCCTGAGGAGAGGCCTGTGGTGGAGCAGGCTGTTCCCCCTGCTGCCCATTGGGTGCTCAATCAGGCAGATCTCCATGTGCAGCCGATGGAGGAGCCCATGGTACAGCAAGTGGTTGTGGCCTGAGGGAGGCTGAGGCCATAGTGAGCCCCTGTAGGAGCAGGCACCAGGCCAGAGCTGCTGCCCATAAAGAGGTGCCCGCAGTGGAGCAGGAGGTCTGGGCTTGCTGCCACCTGTAGAGACATATATGGAGCAGTTCCTGAAGGGATGACCCTGTGGTATGGAGCTGTGCTGGAGCAGTGCTTGAAGAGCTACAGCTTGAGGGAAGCCCACGCAGGATCAGTTTGGGAATAATGGTGTCCTCTGGAAAGAACCTTGAGTGGAATAGGAGAACACTGGAATGTGAAGATGAAAGAGCAGCATATATGAGTGATGTTATGGACTGACAACCCACACTCACCATCTGCTTTGGCTACTCAGTGAGAAGAAATTGAAGAAGGTGGATGAGGGGGAGGTGTTTTTTCTTTGCTTTTAGTTCTCACTGCTCTCCATTTCTAGCTTAATGAATGAAACTACTATTTGGAGAGTTTAGAATTGTGTTCTGCCCACAGGAGACGTTTTTTCATCAACTTCTGTTCAGTTAGCAGTAGCTGAATGTCCTTTTAAACTCAAGAAACTTCCCTCTCTAGGAGGCAGCTTTCATGGTTGCAGTAATGGACTTCAGATAGTGGGAGAGGGAGATACCTTGAATATAGAAGCTGTATCTTTGAGAAATGTGTGGACATGGCCAAAGCATTTTGTATCGCCAGATGCAGCCACCTGTATTTATGTCTGCTGAAGTTTGTATGAAGGTATGAGGCTTAATTTGAGGCAGGATTTCCAGTAATCAAGACTGAATGAAACAGTCTGAAATCATTTGGATCTAATCAACTAGTTCAGTTCTTGGTTGTCTGTCAGATGAGTCAGTGTTGACACTTATGGAGAGATAACTGTTTAACTTTTCAGAAAAATGAGGTGAATTCTAGTCATTTGGAACAGATTACAGTCTTCTTATCTCTCTTAATTAGGACCTAGCCACGCAGTATCTACTTTGTAAACACTACCACCTTAGCTGTTCTTTTGCTAGCTGTTTTGAAGAACAGTACTCAAAAACAAAGGAAAAATCATTCTGCACAGTATGAAATATTTCCTTGTATGCTATACTTTCAGATTCTCTCTGATCAATATGATTTGCAAGATGTACTGAAACGGTCTGATCAGGTTATGGCTGTGGTAAAAGACTGGTTTGGGAATGCCCCTCGCATGCGAACAGGTAAACTATCTCATTTGTATGTGACAGTGCATTCAAGACTAACTTCTTGCTTCTCATAATCTTGAGTTACGAAGTATTCTTTGTAACTGTTTTTGCCTGATGTGATATGACTGGTCGTGTTTATGTTTGAGGAAACACAAATAAGGATAATATCTAATGTGGCAGGAGAGAGTGAACTGTGGCTGGTTGTTCCACTGTACCACTCCATAGTGGAATTTCTGATCACTTATTCTAAAATACCTGATGCTGATTTCTGCAACCAAGTTACCAACCAATACAGAGCACCAGTTCTTGCCACGGTAGTAGTTCTGATTCCTGTTGCTGTTGCTATCCAGTTTGCCTCATTGTTCTTAGGTATTGTTGAAGATATATCAGCAACGTGTGAATAAATCTTTTCCATTTCTTATCCTGGTTTATGAATCCTTACACTTCTGAAAAGGATTGGCCATTTGCATGTGAGATGTTAAGCTTATCTTTTGTCTTCAGGCTGCATTTCTCTTTTGCATTTAATTACTATTCCAAATGACATGCTTTTTCTGCACTAGTTTATTTGCACAGCTGAGAAGTACAGGAGCCTGATGGTGGTGGAGGAGCCTAGGTGATTGAATGTACTGAGATAGTTCTACAGTCTTTGTCAGTTATTCTGAACAACACCCATCACTGTGACCACTTCTGTGCAAAATGCAGGAATTTACATTTTGGTGCTTAGTCCTATCATGTACTGACTCAGCCCTTTCTGTTCTTCCCTGTATTGTCTGATTCCTCTAGGTTTCCCTAATGTAACAATGGCTCCTAACTGTGACTTGGAATCATCTCAGGGACCCATCGTACAAAAATGGGAACCTCCCACTCAGCTTTCCATCCTTAGTGAATCTGCCATGGATTCCCAGGTAATTAATTTATATGTATGGTTCCATGTTTCTTGTTTGCACAAAATAGGGATATTCAAAGGTAAGTGTTTCCAAAGCAGACCTAAACATTTCTTCTGTGTACTGTATACAGTGCTAATAACAAGCAGAGAAAACTGCATTAAATTGACATGAATTTGTTTTGAGAGTCTGGGAATCATTAACTTTTTTATTTCTTAACCTTTGAGTAGAAGAAACTTTTTAAGTCTCACAATAGCAAGCTCTCCCTTTTAAATTCTGGAATTTCCAGTATGAGAGTGAAGTAATTGCAGACTTAAAAAAAAAATCCAAAAGCCCAACTCTGGTGTCACTTAGACTTAATTGGTATCCATTCAAACATGCCTATGACTTTTTCTACTTTTGTGTCTACATATATGGATGTGTAGCCAACTGGGCTGCAAATTATATCTGATCACACACGTTTATATATCCCAGGTAATTCCAAAACCTTGATCAGTCCTATAGGTTTTATTTTTAATACCTCACGTTATTGTGCAATTATTTAGTTTGTGTAAAAGCTTAATGCTTGTTTAAACTTATTCAGAATTTTATTTAGAGTGCCTCAAGTGTTCTCATAGCATGACTTATAGCAGGAATGCATACTTTGGTTTGAGAAGTGTAATGTGACACTACTGAAAAGTAGTTCAATCTGATGAATAACAAAAGAGCTGTGGAACTAAAAGTGCTGGTGTCATATTTTCATGTTTCCCTATTCCTGTATTTTATTATCTTGCACAAATGTCTGCATTCAGAATTGTAGTAGTGCTCATGTAGTCAGATAATTTCAGTGTGTGGAGTTTTTGTCTTGTTTTGCTTTGCTTTTATAATGAAAAAATAACTCTAGCATCACTGAGTTATATCACTGGATGCATGCAGTGGGACAGACATAGATTTTTAGAAGAAAATAGTACTGATAGATGTCTGCCTGAGTGTCTCCGAGATTTTCTTTTCCTTATATTCCTGTGAAAATCCCAGTTAAATGCTATCTGGTGAGGCACACCCAGAAGGGCAGAAACCTGGTAGTTTGAGGAACACTAATTCCAAATTTGATTTGCTTTATGTGAATATGGTATGTGGGATTGTATTTGTTGTTTGTGTTTTACACATAGGATATAGACATATAATTATGCAAATCTCATGATAAGGTTGTTTAGTTTGTAATATCAAGTGACTGAAATTTTAGAAATACATAGCCTTTTATATATATAATAAAAAAAATTATATATAATAAAATATATATATAATTTTTTTTCCGTCTTACTCCTACTATCGAGCAAGGACTTGCTGGACAAACTGAGGGATAAAAACAGAAAGTATAGGCAACGGAAGCAAGGATGGGTGACTTGTGAAGAATATGGGGTTGCTGTCCACTTGTGCAGAGATGAGATCAGGAAAGCCAAGGTGCAGATGTAATTAAACATTGTGAGATATGTAAAATAACAAGGGTTTCTTTAGATGCATTAGTCAGAAGAGACAGGCAAAGGAGACTGTACCCTCTCTGGTAAATGAGAAGGAAGAACTGGCTTCAGTTGATGTGGAAGAGACTGAGGTGAGGTAAAGATGAGTTCTTTACTTCGATCTTTGCTGCCAGTCAAACTTTCAATGCCTGTCATGTTCCTGAACCTCCAGAGGGGTTTAGGTGTGTCACGGAGTTGTCTAGATCAATCTATGCCCGTGACAGGGGGCAGCAGGCCCATGGGTCCCTCAGCCCAAAAATGGGAAGGGAAAAGGGAAGATTAGGGAGATCGGAGCTGGGCCCACAAGCAGAACAGCAGCAATGATCTAAGGAGGAAACCTGATTTTACTAAACATATCAGAATGCAAGATAACACAGTACAATACAGTATGATTGGAATTGAGGCTAATAAATAAAATAAGAGAGAGAGTGTCAGAAACTGAAAGCCTTACTTTGAAGTGAAGGTGCACGGCTTGGGAGCACACCCACACACTGCCAGGCAGTGAACGAGAGTAAGAGATCCCATGACTTACCTTCCTCTCTGAATGTGAAGTCCTCTGAGATAAGTAGTTCTTCTCTTTTGAGAACCAGGAATCTGAAAGGTTGTCAGTTCATGGAACTGGAGTATTAACTCTTTAATTCCCCATGCTTTACATGATGTTATGATGTGGAATACCAATAACAAAATTATAAAACCGTGACAAGGGGAGTGAAATCCCTCCTGTGTTAAGAACAGAGCAAGTCTGAGATCATGTCTTGAGGCTGAATGGATGACTGTGTCAGCAGCAAGGGAAGAGCTACTGTCTGGAGTTCAGTAAGGCCTTTGATATGGTCCCCCATAGCATCCTTCTTCCCAAATTGGGAAAGTATGGATTTGATGGGTGGACTGGTTGATAGACAAAGAAATAGTTGTAAGATCGTACCCAGAGAGAAGTGGTCAACAGCACAATGGAAATACAGGCCATTAAGCCTCATATGTGTGTACAGAAAGATATTGGAGCAGATCCTCCTCGAAGAGAGGAGGATGTGAGATCAGAAGGTAGTCTGAGCCAGACAGCATGACTTCACCAAGGGCAGATTGGCCTGATGAACCTCGTGGCCTTCAGTGAAGGACTGACAGCATCAGTGGACAGAGGAAGAGCAAATGAGGTAATCCACCTGGACTTCTGCAAGGCCTCTGACATAATCCCACACTACATCCTT